TAAGGGGAAAGACCAGGATACAAAATGTAATATATAGTATGGAGAAGATTATATTAATTAAAATGGATTTTACTGAAGAACTTTTTTAAAAGTATGTAAAATTGCATTCAACTACACAACCTTAATTTTGTGCTCTACTCTTCAATGCAACCACATAGGTTGAGTGCCACCCATATTTCACCCAGCCAAAACTCTTGAAATTTTGCCAACAACATGAAATTGTCATTGTTGCATATAGCCCTTTGGGGACCTCTAGGAATGAAACCTGGTAAGTACTTCTCTTCAGGAAGTGTTTCTTTGGGTATAGAGCATGAGACTAATGTGAATTACTATACTTAATTGGAATGACTCCATTTGGCTATGTGATATTAAGAAAGTAACCTTTTCCAAGTCATTATCCATATATATGAATTAAAGCTAATAATACCTTCCTCAACAAGGTGTTGTAAAAATCAATAACATTATATGTATGAAATTACTTATCAGTGCCTGATATAAAGAAAATGCTCAATAAATGTTAGTTGAGGTCAGGTGTGGTGGCTTACACATGTAATCCCAAGTGCTTTGGGAAGCCAAGGCAGGAAGATCACTTGAAAGCTTGAGGCCACAGGGGTTTAAGACCAGGCTGGGCAATGTAGTGAGACTTTGTCTCTACAACAAAAAAAACATAGTTTATTTTTTGACAAAAGAGTTTCTATGGCCATGTTTAAAAATTCTTGAACTTTTTGAACTCTGTATTCAATGGTAATACTTCTACTGGTGATATGTTCCACAGACTTAAGTAGAAATCTTTCTACTCTAAGATGATTCTAAGAGTTGTATTTCTTCCACTCCAGTCTTCCTGCCTATCCTATATTCCTACTTCCTGCCCAGCTCTCTCTGTAAGACTCTTCAAAAACAATACTATTCACCTTCTGAAGGAGGCAGCTCCATAAACTTGCCTCTCTTGATCTTCTCATACTAAGGGACACTCTTCATTCAGTGAGTACTCTGCACTCAAAGAAACTGGTTACCGGAGACCTCAAGCATCCTGGTAGGTGACCAGGTGAATGGGAAGACAGAGAAGGAAGGTGATTGATTAACCTGTGGTTCTCATCACTCAAGCTAAATATGATGCATGCTTTGATTTTTTTTTTTTCAGGGTGAATGTGTCTTCTCCACCTTTGTTAAAGGATGAACTTCTAAACTCATTGGGGAAAAAGTACAATAAGACAGCAGCTCAAGTTGTTTTGCGTTTCAACATCCAGCGAGGGGTAGTTGTCATTCCCAAAAGCTTTAATCCTGAAAGGATCAAAGAAAACTTTCAGGTAAGAGCTTTCGGAAGTGAGAAAAAATGGGTATATTTGTTTTTTGCTTTTAGAGAATGTTCTGATCAGCTTACTAAGAAACTGGTAAGGCTATCATATTTTATTTTATTCCAGCTTCTTAATCCATGCTGTCCATATCTGGATTTAATTTTAGCTAAATTTAAGACAATTTCTAATACTTCAGGGATTGCTTGCTATCTGTACATTATCCAGCTCTCTTATATCTTCCGTGTTCTTATCTATTGGCTCTTACTTTTTCTTTTTTTCTTAACATTGCTAATCAGCTGAATTGACTCTTGACACTACCTATTTCACCACCACAACAGAAATAGAATGAATAAAATTTGAAATTCATAATAATCAACCTTCCACTTTCTTAATGACTCTGGTAAAAGTTCAGGACAGATTTAAAAACTACAGAAGAGGTTCATTTAGACTTAATGAATGCTAATTGCCTTTATTCCCTCTACAAGTGATTTGTGAACAACACTGTAATTTCCAGGTGAGAAAAAAAGCCACTGTCTAGACAAAGGAGTGATTAATTTACTCTACTACCACTAAAGACTTAACTGCTAGGTAATTACAACCATATAAAAGTACTGTGTAAAATTAATTAATTACCTATTAGCTAATAATTTAAATTTCAAAAGTAAATTGTTCATCCCTACTCATAGTTAAAGATAAGTAAACATGAGGTAAACATAAAATGATAAAAGTAAAAATGAGATAGTATTTGTCCCTTCACAAAGGAAACTAATCAAAATGTTTGATAATAGAGTAACGAAAACAGCATGGTACTAGCACAAGAATAGAGACATAGACCAATGGAGCAGAACAGAGAACCCAGATATAAAACCATCCTTATATTGACATCTGATCTTTGACAAAGCAGAAAAAAACACAGTGGGGAAAAGAATCCGTATTCAACAAGTGGTGCTGGGAAAATTGGATAGCCACATGTAGAAGACTGAAACAGGATCCTCACCTCTCACAAAAATCAACTCATGCTGATAACAGACTTAAACCTAAGGCATGAAACCGTAAGAATTCTAGACGAAAATGTTGGAAAAACTCTTATAGACATTGTCCTACGCAAAGAATTTATGTAGAAGACCCCAAAAGCAATCACAACGACAACAACAAAAATAAATAAATGGGACCTGATCAAATTACAAAGTTTCTGCACAGCCAAAGAAACAATCATTAAGAGCAAATAGACAACCTACAGAATGGTAGAAAAAAATTGCATGCTATACATCCAATAAAGGGCTGATAACTAGAATCTATGAAGAACTCAGGCAAATCGGCAAGAAAAAAATCAAACAAACTCTTTAAAAAGTGAGCAAAAGACATGAACAGAAACTTTTCAAAAAGAGAGGCCTGGCGCGGTGGCTCATACCTATAATCCTAGCACTCTGGGAGAC